GAGAGAGAGAGAGAGAGAGAGAGAGAGAGAGAGAGAGAGAGAGATAGAGAGATAGATAGATAGAGATATGAAGTGACTGATATTCAAAACAATCTATCAGGTTCTTTGCAGGAGTGGTCTGGAATCTTACCACGGAACCGTATCTCCAGTCCAGCACATTCTGAATAAAGCATTACCCAACAGTCACACATTTACTTGCTCAAGTTTTAAGCTGGATCCTAATAATTTAGCCAACACAATTAAGTAAACCTAAAGCTAATTTTAAGGAAAAAAAAAATCAATGAAGTAAAAGTCTTACCTTTGGAGTCAGCATTTGGGAACAACCTGTTCCATGGCACTTTATTTTTGTGCGGGAGAGAAAGCAAATAGTTTCTAGCTTTTAAATTTATTATACAATTCAGATCTTCCTGTGATGGAGATCCAAGAATACCTATCAGACAAAACATTAGCTGTTAATTGTCAAGATAAGGACAAATTACCACACACACACATCACCTACAGCACAAAAGAGATTCTGTGTAAAAAAAAGATTTACTTTGTACTATAAGTTTTTACAAAAAGATCTTTCATGTTCAAGAACTTACCGAGGATGTGATTCAGCTGGTCAAGGTAATGCTTTCCTGGGAAGATAGGCCTGTTGGATAGCATCTCTGCCAGGATGCAGCCCACAGACCAAATATCAATGGACTTGGTATAACCCTGCAACAGAAAGGGAGGAAAGACAGAGTAATGAAATGTAGTGTCCACAACAACATGATGAGGTGTCTCCATGTAACAGCTCTGTGGCAGATGAAAGTTTGATCATCTTTGAGAAGACCATTTGGAAACACAGGAACACAAGACAAAAACCAACAAATTGGCTTCCTTAAGAGATGCCATCAGGTGGGGGTGGCACAACCTTTAATCTCCATACTCAGGAGGCAGAGGCAGGAGGAGCTGTTCTGGTTTGATGATGAACTGTATGAACTATAGGCTGAAATAAACTCTTTTTCTCCCCAAATTGCTTTTGGTCATGACATTTTATCATAGCAACAGAAATCTAAGTAAGACAGATGCTGAGTCTCTATAATTACTTTATGTTTATCTCTTGGAATCATTAAATTAGAACTTCTGAAGCACATACCTCAGTCCATTTTCAGTGTTAGAGATTTAGAATCATTACAAACTAGAACTAGAAAGAGTACTAATGCTCACTGTTCATGTCATCTAACTAATCGTATAAAGTTGGAAATGACCCAGAAACTACAAGAGCATCACTCATCACAGCACACACAGCTTTCTCTGCCTGTGGATACAATCCATTTTACATCGTTTCCTGTCATCACCACAGAAGTGAGACCCTGAGACAGCACTGCATCCTCAGAGACAGCACGAGTCAGAGTGGGTCACGTGCTGTGTGCTGAACAGTGTGACTATGGAGACAGCTTGGCAGAGGGCTCCTGCAGAGGGCCCAGCAGTTTACCTCCCAGCCATACTCAACAGCTCACAACAATGACTGTAATTCCAGGGCATCCAACGCCTCTGGTACCTTTGAGCACCAAACACATGCACAAACCCATAGACACACAATTAACAACAAACCTACCCCCCCCCCCAAAAAAAACCCTACCAGGAAAAAAAAAAAAAACACACACACAAATCCTGACTGAATCTTAATGTTCTTAACAGTGCTCAATTTTGCCTACCATCTTATAATTCTAACAAAGAATGCATACTTCATGTTTTCCCTGGCAGTTGTAAACCTATTCAATCATGTTCATTTGCTTTTTTTGTGACAAAGTATTAATAGCCTGGGCTGGTCTTAGGCTTGTGGTAATTCTACCTTTGCCTCCTGAGTGCTGACCTTATGCTTGCTTGCTTCCCCCCAACCCCTCCTTTTCTGTTCTTTTGAGAGAAGTTCTCTTTATGTAGCCTGGGCTGTCCTAGAACTTGCTACCTAGAATCACTTCTGCCTGCTCCTGCCTAAATGCAAGGATCAAGGACCTATTAGCAAGATCCAGGTTTTATTAACAGAGTCTGGATGACCTTCATAATAACTCAGAGAAGAGTAGGAAAGAAGGAGATTTCAGTTTGAAACATAACTATCCTATAATTTCAACAGTCCATAGTGGCTCTGTTCTTTTTGCACCCAGTAATTTTGCTGGAGGGATATTCTTCATTATCAGACAATGTGGCCTTTGTAGAACAGCTCTGGAATATTTGCACAGAAACATACCTTATAGAGACTCTAATAACATAAAAAGCAGGTATGTAAGCTACCACAGGAAGTATTTTAGTAGTAGGAAGGGATATAGGTGTCTACAGTCACTGTGACTGAAGATGGTGAATCCTATGCCTAAAAGTTTGGTTCTCAGACAGCACTCTAGCTCTATATCTGACAGATATACCAGGCTGAAGGCTGGAGGGAAGGTTGTTTCTTTTTCTTACCTTGGAATTCAACATAATTTCTGGAGCTCTGTACCAACGCGTGGCTACGTACTCTGTCAAGAACCCTGTGTGATCATGATCTGGATCTGCAACACGGGCAAGGCCAAAGTCACAGATCTAAGGGAAAAAGTGGGACATCATTTTAGAGCCTAATGAGCTAATAGCAAATGAGCTAGTAGCCTAATGAGCTAATATAATAGCAAAACACCATGAAAATAAAAATGGCAATATCAGTAACAAGGATAACAAATACATGCTACCAATACTATGTTAGACATTTTTTCTGGAAATCACAAAGTCATAATTCCTTACTGCTCAACAATCTGAGGAAGTGAGGACAGTCTGCATGCTGGAGAGAAGAGACAGGCTGAAGGGTCAATTATAGGGCACGGTCTGACAACGACCCTTAGGTTTCATCCCCAACAGCTACTCTGTGTGCCTGGCACTCTCACTTAAGTAACCTGAGCAAAATCATTTTAGAGGGGCTAGAGAGATGGTTCAGCAGTGAAAAGCACAACCTGCTCTCACAGAGGACACCAACCAATACCCACATTGAGTGACTCACAACTGCCTATAAATCCTAAGGGAACTGATACTCTTCTGGTCTCCATGGGCACTCACATACAACGTACAGACATACAAATAAAAACACACAAATAAAATTAAACCTCAAAAACAAAATTGTTAGGGGTAAAATCAGAAAACCCATCCAGAGTCTGTTTCCTCTCCAAGCTATTGCAGCTCACAGACCACTGCTGATATGCTCCTTAATTTCCCCTGACCTATTTCCTCAGACTCCCATTTCTGACTAACTTCCACTTTTAAATTAGTTAAATAATTAATTATTAAGTTTATCTATATGAGTACACTGTTGTTGTCTTCAGACACACCAGAAGAGGGCACTGGATCCCTTTATAGATGGTTGCAAGCCACCATGTGGTTGCTAGGACTTGAACTCAGGACCTCTGGAAGAGCAGTCAGTGTTCTTAATCACTGAGCCATCTCTCCAGCCCCATCCACTATTTTTAATTTTAAAAATACATATTTTCCTACTTTTCACATAGCCAATCCTGATAGTTTTAAAGCTTTCGTGTACATTTTGCTTTGATGTTATTACTTATTGTATGTGTGCATGCATGAAGAATACAGCTCACATTGTGGTAGTCAGAGGACAACTTTCAGAAGGAAGTTGAATCTTTCCTATCTTGTGGGTCCCAGGTATTAAACTCAGGTCATTTGACTTGGGAGCAAACACCTTTATCACTGAGTCATCCTGTCATCTACCACCCAGCTCCTCACATTCTCCTGACTTATGGGAGTTATTTTGTAAGCCCTTACCATCTAGCTGTCTAGCATTGTGATGCTGCTTGGGTTAACTGTCTTACAGACTCCAGTGTGTATAAATGTAGGTATGCTAGTCTACTTAGGTCCATATAAATACAAATGCTTTAATTCTCTGATCCCTAGGGAACCAATTCAAGAAAGAGACAGATTAACAGAGATGAGACTGAAGGCCATCATGAAAGACTGACTTGGAGGCTTGAGTCTATTAAGTCAGCTAAAATTAAGGGGCGGTACTTTAACTTAATAGTAAAACCTCCAAAAGCAAAAAGGCAAATGTTTTGTGGACCATTTTTGTGTGTAGCATTTTTAAGTTATTAGTTTTAAAAATCAGTTACTTTTTAATGGAAACAATTTGACCAAAAGTCTGTTACAAAATTCTGAGACACCCCCCCCCAAAAAAAAAGTTTAAGGAAAGGAAAAAACAAAATGAAACAACAACAGCAACAACAACAACAACAACAAAAACCCAAAAAAACCAATAGCCTGTACTTTGGCCACAAAGTAGGATTAACAGAGAAGGAACAAGTCTAAAAGACACAGGACACAGTTATCCAGACCTCAATCCCTGCTCAGATATCCCACTCAATTACTCTCTGTAATTGAGAGAGATAAAGATACCTTCCTTCCCCTACTGTACAAGTGTCTTCCTACGGTATCTTATCCTTACTGTGGAGAACTTCATATTAGAGGTAGCACCTTTGTTCTCACAGAGCCTCATTTGCTTCAATTACAGCATCCAAGAAGCAGCATATGCAAAAGGATGTGACTGTGTTATCAAAAAACCCCAGGCAGCCCGTCCTCCTCTTTGACAACTCTCTTGCAGGTCACTTCCCACATGGGTTCTCATGTAGGAGAGAGAGAGCAGTGAGGAACTCCTGTTTTTCTCTATACCCAATCACCTACTCCAGCTATTCTACTTAGTATACAAAACCTTTACTGTGAGCCTGGACCTTTCCTTTAAAAGACAGTTTGTGTGACAATGAGGCTAAGATTCTGATGGTCACTGGCCCCCTGGGTCATGGATGGAGAATAGCCATAGCTTCCCTTAGTCTACCACTAGGGACTGACTAGGGGTCTCACACATGCTTTGAAACCACTATATCAGTGAGTTACATTTCTAGCCCATCTATTATTAGACTTAGCTATTGCTTTTGAGGAACTGCTAAGTTCTATGTTTTGATTCACCCGAGGCTTCCATTGTACATATTATTCTACTTGTTTCCATAGGAGCTTTTTCTACCAGTGGCTAGAGTAGAACATGCCTTTCCCTACCCTCAGGAGGCAGAGGCAGATCTGTGATTCTGAGGCTGTCCTAGTCTACACAGTGAGTTCCAGGATAGCCAGCACTACATAGTGAGACCCTGTCTTCAAATAGTCCTTTATACCAATGAATTTCTTAAAAAGGGTTTCCAGTATGAGGCACAGCACCAGTAGTTAAGACTGCAACGAATGATTTCCCCCCCCCACATCTGAGGGAAAGTACTCTTAGCTAAGACCACGTCTTATGGTTGATTATGGCCAATCCACTCAAATTCTGCATGATTATTAAACTTCTCAACATGAGTAACTCATAGTGCTTTTCTTCTGTAGAGCTAATTCTTCTTTCTACGATTTGCCTTTAATCAAAGCCAGTCCTGCTAGTCCCCCCTTCCCGCTTCCTCCTCAGTTCTCTGTGTCAGCTGTAGCTACTCCAGAACTCCCTCTGTAGACCAGGCTGGCCTCAAAGTCGGGGATCTACTTGTTCTGCCTTTCCAGTGCTGGGATTAAAGGCATGTGTCACTTCTCCTGACTACAAAAATTTCTTAATATTATACTACCAAGGAGTAACCAAATTAATGATGCAATAAAACAAACAGGACAAAAAACCCTCCACAATATAACTCAAACAAACCCATCACACCTACAGATAAAGCACCAGTAATGCCAGGCAGTGGTGGCGCACGCCTTTAATCCCAGCACTTGGGAGGCAGAGGCAGGCGGATTTCTGAGTTCAAGGCCAGCCTGGTCTACAGAGTGAGTTCCAGGACAGCCAGGGTTACACACAGAAACCCTGTCTCAAAAAAACCAGAGAGAGAGAGGGGGAGGGGGAGGGGGAGGGAGAGAGGGAGAGGGAGAGGGAGAGGGAGGAGAGGGAGAGGGAGGAGAGGGAGAGAGAGAGGGAGGAGAGGGAGGAGAGGGAGAGGGAGAGGGAGAGAGAGGAGAGGGAGGAGAGGGAGAGGGAGACGGAGAGCGAGGAGAGGGAGAGCGAGAGCAGCCAGACCACTAGTGCAACCAGCCTAAGTTGTCCTGTAGGGTCAGCATTCCCATCTGACCACCCCCTGAACAATGGAAATGGAAATGGTCCTACAGATGTGTTGCACTTTGTACCCTTGTTTACAGGTGTAACTATAATCACACAGGTTTACCGATAACTCTGTGGACTCTGTTTAGCAAACAATGAGCACACATACTGGTACTGACTACACCTCCCATTTTTTTTTCTGGTCCATCAGAAATATGCCAACAGAAGCTGCAAATGGAATCTAACAACTCCTTGTATGTTTTTGTGGACCTGAGAAATAAGGGTTACCATGTAGTACCACACTGTGATAGATGTATCAATGACTCCAGAGCTGGAGTAGGTGACTCTCCTCCACACTAGTGTTTGCTCAATGTCATAAACTACCTGCCAACATATGCTATGCTTATATACTTGCTGTGGCAAATAAGAATCACAGTGAAAAACTACACTTATTTTTGGAATGAAATGTTCTCCATGTGAATGATATACTCTGGATATCTACCTTAAAACTGTGAGTGAAACCAGCTATGGTGGAGAAGCGTGCCAATAATAAAAATCTGAAGAGAATGAGGTAGGACGATGGAGAGTTTGGGATCAGCCTCAACAACACCTTGCTGGGCATTGTACACATCTTCCGTACATATCTATTATTCTAACTCTTGGGAAGTGGATGCATGAATCTGAGGCCAGCCTGAGCTAGTGAGACCTTGTCTCAAAATAACAACAAAAAGCACATTTTAGATAGACCAACAGAAGGCTGTCCATACCTTATTTAAAGCCAATCTCTTTAGCATATGAGTGACTGCCTAGTTGCCAGTGTTGCCCTCAAACTTCAAAAGAATGTAGTACTTTGTTTACTCACCCCTTGCTTTTGACTGTTATTTCTCTAATCTTCCAGCCTATGACACTCTAATGTCCAAAGGGCCCTCTCTTATGAAAACTGTTCATCCTTGGAGGGCTGACATGGACACTATCTCCCTCTTATTTTATTTCTCCTCTTTGCACTTGAATACTACTTTCTATATGTCGCACCATGTGCTATCAATTATACACTGTCTGCTGGGTTCCCATCTCTCGATTTTCCAATTTCAGAGGTAGACGGCCTGTACCTAACAAAGCTTCACCCAGGAATGTTTATTTAACTGAGAACTCAAATGATTATTCCTACATATTTACATATAAAGTTTCTTTACTGATATATAATTCATATACAGTATATAATGCTTTAATATTAATACTTAATATTAGTCACAGAGTTTTAAAACTTTAGAATAATTAACAACATAAAAAGTTAACAGATTAATACCATTTCCCCTAACACTATCAATTATAAACAACTCACTGTATAGATCTACTACATTTTATCCATAACTAGCTAGATATTTGACTTCCATTTTACTAAGGTACATACTTGTCAATGTTTGCTGTCTTTCCTTTTTCTTGAGACAGGGTTTCATTATGGAGTCTTCACTGGCCTGGAACTCACTATGCACCTCAGATTGCTCCGAAACTCCCAAAGATCTGCTTGCCCCCTGCCTCCCAGTGCTGGAATTCAAGGCCACGCCACCAAACCTGATACTGATTATAACCATTCCGGTGAGAGGCTCTCACTGTGAGCCTTGTTTTGTTTTCTTGACACAGAGAATTAAGAAACAAAAATAACACATAGCCGGGAAGTGGTGGTGCATGTCTTTAATCCCAGCACTTGGGAGGCAGAGCCAGGTGGATTTCTGAGTTTGAGGCCAGCCTGGTCTACAGAGTGAGTTCCAGGACAGCCAGGACTATACAGAGAAACCCTGTCTCAAAAAAACAAAACAAAGCAAAACCAAAACACATATGACACTGTACACATAAAGTAGATACACGTAGAGCTACTAATTTTACTACAGTGGCTACTATCTCTGAAGGAAGAATGGGCTAAAGAAGGAATGAGACTCATACTATGTATCTGTATTTTTCTATAAAATGTTTGTATATCTGATAGTTTTGAATATAAATAACAATACCTCAAAGCTACCTTAAAGTACATATCATCCCCAGAATAGATGACTTAGCTGACCTTGAGATCACAAGTGGTGTTCAGCAGGAGGTTGGAAGGCTTGAGGTCACGGTGGAGAACATTAGCTGAATGGATATATTTTAATCCCCTCAGGATCTGGTAAAGAAAATAGCAGATATGGTCATTGCTGAGGTGTTGTGTCTTCAAGAGCTTGTAAAGATCTGTCTCCATGAGGTCCTGTACTATATATCTGTTTGACAGGTTAAGGTAAAACACTACCAGTTGGTCATACTTAGCAAAGCACTGAAACAAATTCAGCTTCTCTTAACCCTCTTCCCATACAGCTTCAGACATAGCCAGGCCGTCAAAAGAAAGGAGAGAATGAAGAGAACATGGCATACTCTCATGAAAGGAAACAAAGACCTAGGTAGCTTGTTGGGGGCCTACACTGAGACTTGAGACAGGGTATCAGCCAATCTTGAAGTCTCAGCTTCTCTGTTCTCTAAATTGTCCACTTCAACCAATTTTCTCCAACGCTTAAAGAGTGTGGTAGACAGCAAACATCAACACCATCTCTTTGGCCCAGAAGTAATGTGTAATGGCACCATTTTCGTTGCTTCTTGTCACCAATATCCTCACAAACCAACGTGGAAGTACAGAGCCACAAATAGCACTGCCACTGACTCCAATCTCTGCCTTTCTTTCTCATTCTCTGACTAGTGTTAAATTCTGCACATTTATTACAAGACCAAAGGAAGCCATGTGAAGAAGAGGTTGATTCTGGGTTCTGCTCTTCTTTCCTTCCTGAACAGCCACCCACTGCCTAAGCACCTAAAACTTCAGCTAAGCCCTATTATTTCTTATGAAAATTAAACTGTATTAACTCTTTATTTTTAACATCATCATAATGATGTTTCATTAGGGTATTTTTTGCATTCATTTTTATGCATAAAATACTATTTCATTTCCTACAGATTCAGGCTAAATGAAATTAGTTCCTTACTTGAAGGATATAAGACTTAAGCAAACTTGTCATTTATAAAAGGTGTTCTTCTATGACAAAAGGTAACAAGAACAACAGGTGCAGCAGGAGGAGGCTTCCCTTACACCACCACACCACTTACTAACAGACATGCTTAAAAAGACAAAGGCTGCCTAGAAACTTGGAGCTGTTATTCCTAGGGGTGCAGAGTAGGAGGTGGAATCTTCTAGAGCAGCTCAGCACTTGTATCTAATGCTGGCTACAATTATATGTATCAGAGTTTACCTGGTCTTAAAGACTGAGGGCCAATTTATTCCATTTTTTTGTTTTGTTTGAAACAGAATTTCTAGCCCTGGCTTTCCTGGAACTCTTTGTAAACCAGGCTGGCCTTGAGCTTAGAGGTCCACCTGCTACCACCTGGGATAAAAGGTAAACCTCTGTGCTCGGGCCAGTTATTTTAAAGGTAAGGAAGCTGGGGCTGGAAGAGGAGCACACGAGGACTGTCTGGAAGACCCTGTCTGGAAGATACTGGTCTGGCCAGGTGTATATCTAGGGTACCTATTTCCTGTTGTGAATGCATCAAAACAGGTGTCATGGTACTGGAAATGACATGTATCAGCTTTCTAAAACTAAGATTAAAGAAAACCACAGAGAAACTGAACTTATAGAAAACATACTAAAACTAGTTACAAAACAGGATAAAATAGAGAAAAAAATAAAATGTTTTAAACAGATTACAATCTCCTCTTGGCATACTTTTTACATATATGGGAAGAATAATTAAAAGTCTTTGTGCACTTTTTCTTTATTTCAAGTTATTTACTCTACAAAGGGACCAAACAGCAGTAGCAGCAGCTAACGTTAGAAAAGGATACACATCTTTCATCTGCTCAATGGTTGGTGCCCGGATGATGTCATTGATGCCGATGATGTTCTCATGTCTGAAGCGCAGTAAGATTTTTATCTCTCTTAGGGTTCTCTGACAGTAGGTCTGGTGCTCAAAAGGACTGATTTTCTTGATAGCAACTCGAACTTTGTTGAGATTATCATAAGCAGAGCTAAAAACAAAACAAAACAAAACAAAAAACACAAAAGTATGCATGTATGAAAATTAAAAATAGCTCACCAAATTATTTGGCAGAAGGGACAAGTTTTAACATCTATCACATCTGCATTGATATAGTGGATATCCGTGGAAACAGCAGATGTGCTACCCACAAAAAGATAAAGCAACAACAGATGCTAAACCTGACATTTAACAGCTGCATGGCCTGTTCATGAGATGAATGCTCATTTCTATAAACCTGACACAGGTTTACAGGAAACAAACACACACACACACACACCCCAACAAACAAGAAAATCACATTTTCCTATTGTCTTAAATAGCAGATAACACTTTGATTAGAATATCATTTCTGCCTCCAAAACAACTATCCATAGTTGTTACTGAATTCTCTGACACAACAGAAACAGCAAATACCAGCAACCACATCTTTATCCCCCCCCCCCAAAATGCAGATCCAGAAAGCTTCACTGCCCTTTATCAACCTCCTCCTCCTCTAAATTTTATGTGTATGGATGTTTTGTCTCTATACATGTCTGTGTACCACATGTGTACAGTGGCTTTGGAGAGCAACAAATCTTTTGGAACTGGAGTTCCAGGCAGTTGTTAGCTGCCATGGAGGTGCTGGAAATAGAACCTGGGTCCTCTGCAAGAGCAGCCATTTCTCCAGCTCAATCACCAACTTTCTTACAAGCAAAACACAGTTCTATTTTTGGTTGTTACTAGGATAATTTTGTAACAAAGTCTACAAAGTAACCTTCTAAAAAAATACTTTCACAGCTATAGGATGGAAGTTTTTTCCAAGCTACACTTAAGACCCAACTATGTAATAAAAATTCTGCTTTTACAGGAGGAGTGGGTGAGGGGGTGGGATAGGGGTTCCCTGAGTGGGGGGGGGGGGGATGGGGTAAGGGGATAACATCTGAAATGTAAATAAAATATCCAATTAAAAAATTCTGCTTTTAATTTTAGGATGGTTTAAAATTTTAAATATAACTACTATCTTTCTGAGGTGTCGTCGGGCAACAATTCACCTAAATATTTTTTACAAAGCATTTTATACTAATGTCAACATCTGACCACTGACTAAAGCAATAAAATATTTCCTTGTTTCCTCATTAAGTGCTAGAAACAAGCAATAGTATTTACCAACTGCCACTACTGATGCCTCTGAGTCTACCCAAAGTCTGTTTTAGGAATAGTCTTGTCAGTGGCTGGCTGCATCATCTCATAATGCCATTACACGCTGCACTGTCCCAAAGCACTTTGAAATGGTATACAGTTCTTAAACAGGATGTCTATTTAAACACTATTTCCTTTGGTTTGGTACACTAGGGCCCAAAGCAGGGCTCTTGGGGAGGCAGGCAAAAGGATGTATAGTCTAGGCAAGTGTACTCAATACTGGGATCTACTGTTAAAAATAAACACCCCCTTTGATAATCGTAACAAGAGGGAGAACATTTATTTTACAGTTAAAACAGATTTGGGATTGTCAGTTCTCTGCTAGAAAGCTCCCTGGTAGCAGCATAAAGCCCTGGATTGATCCTTCAGCATGATAAAAATTAAAATTAAGTAAAAGTAAACTTGTAAAATACTGGTCAGAAATTCAACATTATAAATTCTTATTTTTTTATAAACCACATTAGTCGAATCTGGTTTGCTTTACAGAATTATAATCTACCAGGACTGGTTTTAGTTTGCTTATTTTTATGGCAGGGTCTTTCTTGCTCTGACTGTTCTGGAACTCAGATTAGGTGCCTCTATCTCAAGTGCTGGGATTAAAGGTATGGTCACCAAAATGGGTTTATCTAATAGTGCTGTTAGAAGGAATCAGGCACCAGTATGGCCTTCTACTTTATCACCTGACTTGGTAGTGTGAAATAACCAAACTGACTCCTTTATTTGAAGGTGTGACACTATCTTCTTTCCCCTTCACCTTCTGACCTGTTCAGAGTGTAGCCTGATCCTATGTACACAGGCAGACATACATGCAGGCAAAACATCCATATGCATTTAAATAAGTAAAATAAAATAAAATACAATTAAAAAGAAAGGGCAAAGGGAGCCTAGAGTATCTGTCCTGATGGCACACACCTACATCCCAGCACTAAAGAGGCAGAGGCAGGCAGATCTCTGAGTTTGAGGCCAGTGAGGTCTATACATTTATTGCAAGTTCCAGGACAGCCACCAAGAGAACCTGTCCCAAAATGGGGTAGAGACACGGCTCAGTAGTTAAAAGTTCATACTGTTCTCCCAGAAGGTCCAAGTTCAGTTCAGAGCACCACTCTTGGATTAGATTTGAGGCCTGCTCTATAGGAGAGCTGTGTTTGGTACTATAAATCTAGTCAAAAACTCCATGGCCAGGGAAATTATACATCTACTAACTCCCTTTCCTAAGTCTGCTAACTCAACATCTACTAACGTTGTCTTGGTAAATGGACATGTTAAATTTCCTCCTAAATATATTGATACCCTTACTTCTCAATGCTTCTTAGAAAGAAGCTTAGACGAGAAGCTTCTTTCTGTAGTGGGTAGGAGGCAATGCAGAGACTTCCAAGTGGTTGAAACACTGAAAGCTGAATGCTCAGCCCTCATCTGGACATCTGTAACATGCTCCCTGAGGCTCAGAAAATATCACAGAGTATGGCAGAAAGCACGAAAGAGCTGGAAGATAGGGAAGAATGTTGTGAAAGGTTGCATATGCTCAAGCCAATCAACACTTCAGCATGAATGAGAGAAAGATGATCTGATAACAGTTGAAGCAAGTGTTGGTTGATGAGAGAGAAGTGATTTGTTTCTCTGTGTGAATGAGCTGGTGACGGGTTGCCTAGCTTCTGGTAGACGGCTGGCTCCCCACTTTTAAGTCTATGCAGGCACACTAACTGGACTCTATAAAGGTTATCAAGGTTCTAAGAGAAACACCAGTACAGGGCTGTGGGAGGAGAGACGCTGGAGGCCTCTGGGGAGAGTGGGAGGTCAGATATGGTTTGGATATGACCTAGGTACAGTGCATATATACACAAAATTGTCAAAAGTACATAAAATAATTTAAATAGGTGGGTGTGTGTAGGATCTTTTGGAATACTTGGGTCTATTCCAAGACCGAGATGGGTTTGAACAGATTTAGAAGCACACTGACCAGCAAATATAGGATTAAAAACCTACCAATTCTGGATATTATTTAAGAAGATGCTTTACGGAAGAAAAAAGAATCAACATGAGTCAATTACGAACAAGTCATGGTAAACCAACTTCATTTCCTGTTTTGATAGGGTTACTAAGGCAACAAAGGAGTACTGGTCACAGCTTCTGGAGAACTCTAGCTACTTGAAATGTACTTCCCATTTGAAAGACTTCTTGTTAGATGGAGGGGGAAAAAGTTCTTGCTCTTGAGAAGATCTGAATTTAGTGAGCAAAGGATGCACACACACACACACACACACACACACACACACACACACACACACACCCCTCCCTTACATACTCCACAACCCTTACAGAAATGCACTTGCTAAACACAAAGAGAATCTGGGTTAACTAATTCCAAACGACAACAGAGAAAGAATGAAAAGTGGAGACTGGCTGTGGACATTTTTAATCACAGCACCCAGGAGGCAGAGGCAGCCAGGACTGTATGGAGAAACCCAGCTCAGGGGGAAAAAAAAAAAAAAAAAAAAAAGGAGGCCAACTGAGTCTACACAGGGAATGCAAAGCCAGCTATTTAATGAGACCCTATCTAAAAGACGAAAGAAAGAAAGAAAGAAAGAAAGAAAGAAAGAAAGAAAGAAAGAAAGAAAGAAAGAAAGAAAGAAAGGAAGGAAGGAAGGAAGGAAGGAAGGAAGGAAGGAAGGAAGGAA